CTCTCTCATTAAGCAAATCCACCCCATGGTTAGCAGTGTATTAGAAATTTTACCTCAATTATCTTAATGATCTCAGTATTGCTAAAAAAAATCTCACTTTTATATATTTAAAAAATACAATGTAAATAACAAAAAATATAAAAACACCAAAACTAACACGTATTTAGTGACATCAATCCAAATTTAGTAAATGGCAGTCAAAATTTATTATTTTTATCAGGGCCTACTCACAGAGCTACAGCCCCAGCCCCTCCCCCTTATTTTAAATTTTGAGATAGGATCTAGGTAAGTTGCTAAGTTTCCTGGGCTGGGCTTGAAGTTGTGATCCTCCTGCCTCAGCCTCCCAGAGTACTGACATCACAGGTATATGCCACTATATCTGGCTGTAAGAGTCAGAATTAAAATCTAGTTCTGTGTGATAAACATAAAACTGATGTTAGGCTCTTTGTCTTGTATTACACTACCTTTTCATACCCTAACCCATTTGTAGTGGGCTACTGAGGCTTGCATTCTTTTCATTAAATATACATGGAGGTCTAGGTCCTGGGGAAACTGGTGAGCACGACAGGCACAATTTGACTTCATTAAACTAAAGGATGGAGGATGACTGCATCTGTTTAATTTCTGCATTGTGGTGTATGGGATCTGGACCTCGCTGAGCTTCATTTTCATTTAAAACATCTGTAAATATGTAGTTTCAATTAAAATTCTCATGTTTATGTACCCACTTAAAAATATATGTGAGAAAAAAAATATATATGCGAGAGTCTCAATGATTACCTTGTAAAGAGCACAGGTAAGAAAAATGTAACAAATAGTAGTGAAGTACTGCTCTAAGATAGTCCCTGGTCAATTTCATATATAATGTGTGAAATGGTGAACAAGGGATTTCAACTCAGATTATAAAATTACTACCAAACTACCCTACTTCTGTCGTTGGAAACATGTTAGTTCTTTTCACATTCTCAATTTGAAGCCTAAAAGTCTTCCATTTCAATTATGAAATGTGCAAAGTGGCAGCAAATAAAGGTTTGTTAGTGATATCTGTTAAAGATTTCCTTTTGGTGCTGGAGATTAACTCTCAGCCTCATATATAGTAAGGACAGGGCATGTTCTACCACTAAATTATGCCACCAGACCTTTAGAGACAAAACTTGCTTTAATACAACACACTCAAATATAAAGTGACCAAACAATGGCGTATACAATTGGGGGGGGCGGGATCGAACTCCGGACCTCGTGCTTGCAGGCGATGGTAGAACCACTGAGCTAAACCCTCAGGACCCCCCCGCTTTTGAGATAGGGTCTTGTTATATAGTTAAAGCTGTCCTGAACTCACTATACCCTAGGCTGGCCTCCAACTCAGGCAATCCTCTTGCTCCAACCTCCCGAGTGCTGGGATTACAGGCCTACACCACCACGTTTGGTTTACAAGTTACCTCATTTGGTTTCCTTTGAAGCACATGTAGAGGCAGATCTGTGGGCAATAAGCAAACTGAACTCAGCCTGGAAAGGGAAGGTACATCAGGGATTCAAAAAAGACTGTTCCCTAACATAGAGTGTGTATTGGAGCAAACTAAGAAAATACAATTTCCCTCTAGGCAAGTAATTGACCCTGTTTGGCTAGAGGACAGGATAAAGGAAGAGAGGCGGAAAAAGAGAAGATAACGTTGAAGATAATGTGTAGACTTCATTTTATATAGAGCTTGGACATCCATTCATTAAAGGTTTCCGAGTAAGGGAGAAATTACGGTAGTCCTAACTGATAGAGAATGCAGCTCGAAGAAAATGTGGCTTCGTTACTTCGCTACAAGCCCTTAGACAAATTACTATCTGGTCTCAATTCAGTAAATAGGGGTAATTCCGTACGGGACGATTGGGATTAAACTAGTGTATGAAAGGTGTTTAACACTAGAGGGCGATCAATAAATGTTTTTTTTTTCCTTAATAAGGAAAAGAACAAAACCTCTTTGCCCTGCCCTGTACGTAGACAAGAAAGGCACACATCCAGTAAAAGCCCGAAAGACCCAGCCAGTTTCAGTAGCAACCACACCTGACTATACAGATATTGTGTAGGATTCCGCCAGCGTTCCTAGGTTATGCTCGCGCTCCCCGAGCTTCAGTCCGCGCCCACCACTGAACCGTGGCACGCCCAACCAGTCCTCCAGAGACCTCCAATCCGCCTTCTTCTTTTGCCGCCGTCACTTCAGGGGCAGCTAGTGGCTTGCGTCATATCCATTTCCGTTTCCAAGGTCCCTCTTTTCCGGCTCCAGGGCCGCTCTAGGCTGCAATTTCGCTGGCCAGCCCCGAAGCTCCGTGGTTACTGGGCGGGGCCGTGACGTCCTTGGCGTGGCAGCAGGGGAGGCCGCGGCAGGGAAAATGGCGGACGGAAAGGCGGGAGAGGAGAAGCCTGAGAAGCCGAAGCGAGCTGGAGCCGCCGGAGGTGAACACAACCCCAGCGTTGCGGGCTGCGTGGGATACTTCGGGCCTTTCTTTGAGCTCCCTGGGGAGGGGGGGTGTGGAATAGAGAGAATAGGCGGGTCTGGCTTTCAGCTAGGTGCTGGGCCCGGACGAGCTTGGGGCACGCCCGGTGCGGCCCGCTGGCTTCCAGGCCCACTTTGCCTCTTTGCCTCAGGGAGTCGGCCACTGTTCGTCACCTCCTGGCTCCTAGAAGCACTGGTACTCAGGAGAAGGGAGATGGGCGCCAGAAAGGGAGACTAAACTTGAGGTGGGACTGCTTGCGGCCGTACCGGAACCG